ATACTATACTATACTATACTATACTATACTATACTATACTATACTATGTCCTGATGCATCTCAGGAATCTAGGTAGAGAAAATCAAAAAGAAAAAATATGTAGGTCCTCTGGATGGGTTCTTCTTTAGTGAAACGTTTCGTCTCTCCTCCAAGAGACTTCTTCAGTCTGATGAGTTTCAGGTGAACTCAGCCTTGTAAGCACTGCCTCCACGTGGACAAACAGGTTAGTCATATGTAAAAGAGGGCCATCGCTTAACAATAAGCTTGATTGACTCTATTGTTCATAGAGGGTCATGCGCCCCATCACCTGACTTGTTGTGTCATGTGTATGTAGTGAATGCAGGTGGGGCTCAACGTCYCCTTGTTTTTGTTTTTTCCTTCTTTGTGTTGGTTATCGTTGGGGCCCTGATTCACACCTTTTGAACTGAGACATTTATTCCCTAAACATGACGTCCCAGTGGCTTTYAAACCCCAAAACACGGGACAAAGATTAGTTCACCCCAAAGATCCAGTTCCCCGGCAAAAACAGAGTAATATGGTATATGCTGTTAAGTGTCAGGAGGACTGTGATCAGTTATACATTGGAGAAACAAAACAGCCACTGTTCAAAAGAATGAGCCAGCACAGATGAGCTACTTTGTCGGATCAGGACTCTGCAGTTTACACTCATCTACAGGCCAGCGGTTACTCTTTCAGGGATGAAGATGTTCTCATCCTTGATAAGAGGAATGTTGGTTTGAGAGAGGAGTAAAGGAAGCCATCTTTGTGAAGAAAAAACATCCACCATTAAACAGAGGTGGAGGCCTTCATGCCCAGTTGTCCTCCTCCTACAACACTGTTATTGTAAGTAYTACTCAGCCCCCTGTGAGCAAAAGGTGTGAATCAGGGCCCCAAAGATAAACAACACAAAGAGGGAAAAACAAAAACAAGGAGACATTGAGCCCCGCCTGCATTCACTACATACACATGACACGACACCTAAGAACCACAGCATCCAAACCAATAAGTCAGGTGATGGGCACATGACCCTGTATGAACAATAGAGCCAATCAAGCCTATTGTTA